CACAAAGTTATGAATTTTTGAAGTTAAGGGAGTTTAAATAAATAGAAAAAGCCCTATTTTTATATTTTTCCACGCGGCGCCCCGTCAACCTACGGGCCCATTTGACGCCGCCGTCCACACCAGCAGCCACACGTCCCGCTGTTTGTGTAAAGAAGCACTGTCCGGTTTCATCTTGGCCGTTCATTTGATACACGCTTGATCAAATGGCTTCCCGTCATCGTCCCCGATAGAATGATCATGTGACTGTCCACACTAAAACCTTACGATCTAAGATTTAAGATTTCAGCCTAGACTCAACCAAATCACTTCGGGTTTGATCATATGGACACGTCTAAGTGAGACAAGCACATCCATACGGTAATCATGCAATTAAATAAGCCTAATCAAATGTAGAACCAAAATAGGCTCAAGAGGGAGAGAAATTTTATACCTTTGCTATGAGAAGTAAAGCTTCAATCAGAGGGTCTTGGCATGTTCTCTAGGGTCTAAAGAGGCTAAGGATTAAGCCTCTTGCTGTGGTGTGAGGCCTAAGTATGAATTCGATCACAGATGGATTTGGGTGTTGGTCTAGAGCTATGGTAGAGGCTTTGTGGAAGGGGGATTTTATGGGGCTTTCGCTTCTTTCTTGGTTGTGAAGGCGTGGGTAGAGTTAATTTGAGTTTGGTGGAGTGTGGAGGTGTAATGAGCTCTGTCCTGGTTTTCAGCAAGGTTTTGAGCTCAAAATTGAACTCCGACAGCGGAAATTGGTGAGGGAAAGTAGTTGGAATGCACTGAGGCGATCTTAGGGAAGCTCTGTGGTCAATTTGGGGAGGTCTCTCCAAGAAATTTTCAGCACTTGCTTCAATGGCCATGGAGGTGGCCTTTTATAAAAATGAGGTTGTGGTGGTTGTCATGGCCAATTAGAGGGTATAATGTGGTACTTAGGTGGAGGGCAGAGGAGCTCTACAATTCAATTTGGCTGAGCTGGCCTCTAGGTTTGATTTGGGTGAAGCTCCATGGGGGTGGCTCTCGGTTTG